AACAGTGCAGGAGGGTTCCCTTTTCACCACACCCTTTCCAGCATTTATTGTTTCTAGAGATTTTGATAATGGCCATTCTGACTGGTTTGAGGTGATATCTCATTGTAGTTTTGATTTGCATTTCTCTAATAATTAGTGATGTTCAGCATCTTTTCATGTGCCTCTTGGCCATCTGTGTATCTTTCTTGGTGAAATGTCTATTTAGGTCTTCTGCCCATTTTTTAATTGGATTGTTTGTTTTTTTGATATTGAGCTCCATGGGTTGTTCGTATATTTTGGAGATTAATCCTTTGTCTGTTGTTTCATTTGCAAATATTTTCTCCCATTCTGAGGGTTTTCTTTTTGTCTTGTTTATGGTTTCCTTTGCTGTGCAAAAGCTTTTAAGTTTAATTAAGTCCCATTTGTTTATCTTTGTTTTTATTTCTGTTACTCTAGGAGGTGGGTCAAAAAAGATCTTGCTGTGGTTTATGTCAAAGAGTGTTTTTCCTATGTTTTCCTCTAAGAGTTTCATAGTGTCTCGTCTTACATTTAGGTCTTTAATCCATTTTGAGTTTATTTCTGTGTATGGTGTTAGGTAGTGTTCTAAATTCGTTCTTTTACATGTAGCTCTCCAGATTTCTCCAGCACCACTTACTGAAGAGGCTGTCTTTTCTCCATTGTATGTTCTTGCCTCCTTTGTCATAAATTAGGTGACTGTATGCGCGTGGGTTAATCTCTGGGCTTATTCCTATCCATTTGGCCCCTCAGACCTGGTAGCTTTCTTTGATACTTCTGGGCCACTCTTGGCTTCTTAGGAGTTATTCTCCTCCGCTGAAGACATGCTTTCTTTTGTAGAGTATTGCTGTTTCCTTGGATCTTTTTTTTAGTCTTTTTTAGAAAAATTAATTACTTAATTATTTTTTGGCTGTGTTGGGTCTTTGTTGCTGCATGTGGGCTTTCTCTAGCTGTGGTGAGCGAGGGGTACCCTTCGTTGTGGTGCGCAGCCTTCTCATTGCAGTGGCTTCTCTTGTTGAGGAGCATAGGCTCTAGGCATGCAGGCTTCAGTAGTTGTGGTGCACGGGCTTCGTTGCTCCGTGGCATGTGGGATCTTCCCAGACCAGGGCTCAAACCCATGTCCCCTGCATTGGCAGGTGGGTTCTTAACCACTGAGCCACCAGGGAAGCCCCTACATGTCTTTTCATATCCTTTTTATTAGCACAGAATGGAGCAAAGACCAATCTTGAGTGGGGAAGGAAATACTGAGGGGAAAAATTCGTATTTCAAAAATATTACCCTGCATCACACTTAAGTTGAGAGTGAAAGTGTGGGAAATGAGAGAGTAGGTTGTCTCTAAAGAGAAATTACCCCAAGAGGAAAAAGAAAGAATTGAGAGATGGATTGGGGACACTAGTTTTTCAGAAAACCAGTGACCCTTCCCAGTCTTTAACTCCCACTTGACTTTGCTTGATGGGAATTTTCAGGAGAGATGTATGTTGCTGTTTTGCTATTGCCACTTTATATGTGAATATCAAATATGCCAAGTTTCTAGGACATTAATGGATTTTGTATTGTAATTCAATACATTTTTATTAAATGAATGAACAATAAACAGTCATGGACATACATGGATATATTAAAGCAGCTCAGGGCTACAAGGGCAGAAGCTTCACAAATGTTTCCATTTGAAAGATTGAGTTTAGAAATTAATTGGATTTTTTTTCCCTCAAATGGCACTTAATAATCTTGGGGACCAGTATTATACATTAGAGAACTTATTAACAGGTCTCAGCCAGGCACTTGGCTATTGAGTGTTGACACAGGAGAAAAAAAAAAACCCACACACAAAATAACAACCAATAAACTCTGCAGAACAGTGTTAAGGATACTGGACTTTAACTTTTTGATTGGAGGTATTACTACTGCAGTGGGCTGACCTGCCAGATGGATCATTAAGATCAAAGGCTATACGTTATGATGTTTGCCTTTTAAAAAGTAAATGCTACTCTGAATTTCATAGTTTGCAACTTTCAGCTGGAAGTGACAGCATGGATTCTTGGTATCTGCCTTCATTTCTTTTCTTTGCTGCCCTCCTCCGGGTTTTTGGCTTGGTAAGAAAACAATGTATGGAAAACAATTAGAAAAATTGGGGGTAGTTGATACCGATTATTAAAGAACAACCTGTTCGTTCGTTTTTTGTTTTTTAAGGAATTTCAAAGTGTCAATGAAATAAACGTTTCTTTTTGGCGAGCAGGGACAGGCAGGGTACTGGGAGTGAGAAGAAGACCCACCAGAAGAAAAGTCAGAGACACTGACATAAAGTTATGTTTTATCTTCAGTTTCATTGCTGTGTAACAAGTTTTCTTTTCATAAGATGGAAAATGTGAAATTTGAAAATCATTCCATTTTTACTGCGGAATGTGACACATATTGCTGTTACAGTAATGTGAGACATGACGGAGTGAATGATGAATGTCACAGGCACAGCAAATACTTACGTTTTGTAGCATGGGATTTCTTTTCTGCTTCTTCATCAGGTTAGACCTATCTTTCTACAGTGACAGGTAGTTGGTACCACAAACCAACTTGAGGTTTGTTTTATTTATTTATTTTAATTTTTATCGACGTGTAGTTGATTTACAATGTTGTGTTAGTTTCAGGTGTACAGCAGAGTGAATCAGTTATACATATATAGAGAGCCACTCTTTATTTATTTTTTTTTAAGATTCTTTTCCCATATAGGCCATTACGGAGTATTGAGTAAGTCCCCTGTGCTATACAGCAGGTTCTTATTAGTTATTTATCTTATATAGATATGTGTATATGTGTGTATGTCAATCCCAATCTCCCAATTTATCCCTCCCCCCCCTTATCCCCTGGTAACCATAATCACGTTTTTGTGTTTTTTTTGTTTTTTCATAATCAGGTTTTAAATGAAGTTTCAAGTGACTGGGGGGGGAACCTTTAGTTGTGATTTTTAAATAACAATTATTATGTTGAGCTGATATTCTGTGAACAGAACTACAGCAGTGAGAACAGGAGATACTATTGAAGACTTATTAAAACTGTAATTATGAACAAATACTTGATGACTTTTTTCAGGAGGTGTGTTGGCATTCCTCTGTGAGTGTGTGCCTGTGTGTGGCCAAATGTGAGGCAATCAAGGCACTAATTAATATCAAAAAGGATGGTCATCATCCAACCAGTTATTCCCATGCTTGTCAAACACCCCAACTGATTCTAGTATCTATATTCTAGTATCTACAGGTAAGTATTTAAATAAAATTGTACCTTACAGTTGTATGACAAAGTTTACCAAGTTCTTTCACATTACATCATATAACCATCATAATACCCAGGCAAAGCAGGCACTGACCATATTATACAGATATTCTGAGTATCAGGAAGGTGAACTGACTTGCTGTTAGTTGGTAGAAGCAGGAATAAAACCCAGACCTACTGTCTACCAGTCCCATGAGCTTTTTAAACTAGACTTCACTAAGAAATATCAGGTTTACTTAGTTTTTGCCATTGTGTATGTGGTCTGGGTTTCATTTCATCACCTGTAGCGAATCTGTTTTCAGAAGTTTTTTTTTTTTCCCACTTGCAAAGTATAGCCATAGATTTTTTTTCTGGAGTATTTGGTATTGACTTTGAAGGTGGAGTCTTGAGACAAATGTGAAAGTAAACCATGGTTAATGAGGTCTTCAATAAAATTTTCTTTTTAAAGGATCATGAAAAATTATAATAATATTTCAATATTGGGAATAAATTATTAGGTTTTTCAAGCATAGCTCCATGAATTCTTTAGAATCATGTTCACTTTAAATCATGTTTAAAGTGAACCCTTAATTGAGGGCAAGACTCTTATGTTCTGCCTTCTTTTCAACCTGTGAAGTTGGTTTCTTGTTTCTTTCACCTTCAAATCCATACAACAGGCTGTTTCATTTTTTATATGAAATGAGAAGACCCTTGGGTCAAAAAGTTATCTTAGACTCTGATTTAGCTCTCTTGGGATTTTTCCAGAAAGTTATCCATAATATTAGGGAAAAAAGAAAACCCCAGAAATGGTTAGATATAAATTGGAATCAATAAGACCATTTATTTCGTGGGCATCATAATAATATATCTTTTGTATGTGTTTGTTTCCCAGCCAACCCCAGAAATCTTTGGTGAGTCTATTTTGAGTTTTGCCCTATGTTATAGTAAAAAAAGGTTATGTGAATAATAGAACAACAGAACAGAAGAACTTAGGACACATTTAATGCTAAGCACAGTGCATAATTGCATATGCATTATTGCATAATTGCATTGAACTTTGATCAAGCGCTGGCTTCTTTTGACTTATTGAGGAACGTTTTATTGTTTCTGCTCCGGCGTTCCACCTACTCAGCAAAAAAAAAAAATAAGTGGTGGTATAAGAAAGTCCAAACACAGTGACTGACATATCGGCATCCCATAAAATGCCTACTATTATTATTTTTGTTATTTTGTGTCAAATCAAATGGACCTGATGTCTGTCCTATTCAGTTGTACAGTTAGAGACTTGGCCATATTATCTACCCCTTTGCAACTTAAGAATAATTCAAATATAAATTAGGAATTTTGCTTGAGAGTTCCAAGGTACACTATTAGCAAGGAATATAAATATATGGATAGATTGTACTGGTTTGACCAAATTTAAATATTTGCTTCTTATTTAATCTAGTCATCTAATCTAGTCTTTCAAATTAAGCTTAATATTATATGGAATGACCAATTTCTTATTCCTGAAGTTATTTGGCATACAAGGGACATGGGTAAAACAAGAGTATATATGCAAAAGCCCCATAGCCCCAAGCCTGGCTCATGGGAGGTCTCAATCAATCGATCAATCAATCAATGAATCAATATATGTTGAATCAGAACCTGGTACTCTCTTATCTGAGGCAAAAGAACCTTGCTTACTTCTAATTGGTAATTGATAAAGATTTTCTTCTTTCATAAACACAATGTTCAATGTGTTTTTATTCTTTTTGTTAAAGATGTAGATGGTGGAATTGACCAGGATATATTTGATATCAATGAAGGTTTGTGGATTTTTTTTAAATTCTTTATTAAGTGGGGAGTTTGAATCCAATTTGCTAACACAAATTTTTACCTTCCCTCTTAGATTCGGGACTGGATCTTTTTGAGGGAGACATCAGACTTGATGGGGTGAGTTGAAACAATGCAAGGAAAGACCTTCAATTAACCACTGCAAGCTAAAATAGAGTATCTGAGAATGATGGGACAACATGGGCTTTGTTAAGCCCAACTATCTCTAAGGGTGTAGAATCATAGTTGACACATTTAGTCAATGAATACTTTATACTCTAAGGGATTCATATAATAGTATCTTCATCATTCATTACTCAGATTTCTGTGTGGTTAAACCCACCGTCACTCACCTGGTATGCTTTGGTCTTATTGATCTGACTGATTTTCATTATGGGAACAATATGATATTTTCATTTTTAAATAGAACCTCACTGATTAAAGCCAGTTGAAGCAAAATTAAACTGAATTTGTAAATTCAATGAATCAGGATTTTACCATAAGAGAAAGGTTTTGTGACTCCTACTCTGACAGCTGAGAATAGAGTTGCCACATAAAGATCTTCCCAAACTATCATAAAGAGTACTGGTTCTGGGGCTTCCCTGGTGGCTCAGTGGTTGAGAGTCCGCCTGCCGATGCAGGGGACACGGGTTCGTGCCCCGGCCTGGGAAGATCCCACATGCTGCGGAGTGGCTGGGCCCGTGAGCCATGGCCGCTGAGCCTGCGCGTCCGGAGCCTGTGCTCCGCAACAGGAGAGGCCACAACAGTGAGAGGCCCACGTAATGCAAAAAAAAAAAAAGAGTACTGGTTCTTACCTAGCCATCATGGCACACAGATGAACACAGGTACCTTACATGTAGTTTAAGGGAGCTTAAACATTCCTCAACCCCCACTGTGAACTTCAACTCAAGAAACAGAGCTGCAGTGTCTGAGGTTTAGTCCTTGGTCTGCTCTTCTCTCCTTGATCCTACCCTGTACCAGGGCTTGTCATCTCTGTGCTGATGACTCCCAATGTATAACTCTGGTTCATTCCTTCCCCTGAGCTCCTGACTTGTCTATCCCAATACTAATCCATCAGTTCCATTGGAATGTCTACAAGATACCTCAAACATAATGTGTCCTCAACTAAACTCTGATTTCTCATACAAGCTGTTCCTCCCTAGTTTTCCCTCTTAGTAAAGTAATCACCACTCCCTCTCCCCACTCCACTGAATAAGTAAAAAACCTAGGAGTCACCTTTGCTTCTTCCGTTTCCCTCACCCCACCATCCACTCCATCAGCAAGTTCTATTATTTCTATCTCCAAAGTATATATACTCCAAAGAATCCACTTTTCTCCTAATTTATCTGCTTCAAATGTTGCCCTCCTAGAATCTTTTCCACCCTGTCCCTGTCCCCTATCCCCTACAGCAAAGTGAACTTTTAAATAAGCAACACCACCATTTCACTTCCTGGCTTGAAACTCAATGGCTTCCTACCATATTTAGAATAATATCCAGATTTACCCACAGCCTTTAGGACTTTGCATGATTTAACTCCTGCCTATCTCTCCTCCCATCTCCTCTCTTCTTTGATCTCATCTCCTTAGGCCACTGGCCTCAAACATGCAAAATATACCAAGCATATTCCTACCTCAGAGCAGAACAACTACTGTTTCCTCTGTCTGGAATGATCTTTCCAGAGCCCCTTTCAATACTGGCTCTTTCTTATCACTCTCATTTCACCTTCAATGTCACCCTTTCAAGGAGTCCTGTCCTGACCTCTTTATCTAATACACTCCCCTAATCCCTTTATTCTTGTCCACATCTCCCTTTTTCATTTCCTCTGCTACTATTAAATATATCCTGTTTAAACTTAAAAAATATATTTATTTATTTATTTGGTTGCATGGGGTCTTAGTTGCGGCAGGTGGGCTCCTTAGTTGTGACTCACCAGCTCCTTAGTTGTGGCTCACTGGCTTGTTAGTTGCAGCGTGTGGACTCTCAGTCATGGCATGTGAACTCTTAGTTGTGGCATGCAGGTGGGATCTAGTTCCCTGACCAGGGATCGAACCCAGTCCCCCTGCATTGGGAGTGTGCAGTCTTATCCTCTGTGCCACCAGGGAAGTCCTTAGACTGTTTTCTTACATGCTGTTTGTCTCCTCTACTAGAAAGAGCTCTAGGAAGGTAGAGACATTGGTAGTTTGGTTACCAATGGATCTCTGTTCTCTTGAACAGTGTTCATTTTGCTGGCTGGGTGAATACATTAATGAAACATTATTAGCTTTCTATTATAAAAGTTGGGAGGGAGACACAAGAGGGAGGAGATATGGGGATATATGTATATGTATAGCTGATTCACTTTGTTATATGTATAGCTGATTCTGCTTTGTTAAAGCAGAAACTAACACACTATTTTAAAGCAATTATACTCCAATAAAGATGTTAAAAAAAATACTTGATGAAGGATGAATGGACCAGGAAAAAAAAAATTTCAAGTACTTTAAAATTGTTTGAAAACTTTGGTCCAGCTCATGTGTGATTTTTTTTCTGATATTCTGAGATCAAGATGATTGAGGTTTTGCTATCACTTCCTTCTTGTATATTTTTAATCTGTAGTATAAGAAACTAGTCTATGAATCTACCATATTTATTGTCCAGTTTTCCAACAATCATTATTTACATGATTTTGCTTCAACTTTATCAACAAAATTAATGATAGAAATTAGTGATTTCCCATCAGCCAATCAGAGAATTGTGCATAAGCTGATCACATACCCTGTAACCACCCTCCCTCACCTGGCCTTTAAAAATGCTTTGCTGAAACCCTTTGGGGAGCTCGGGGTTTTTGGGGGCCTGAGCCACCCATCTCCTTGCATGGCCCTGCAATAAACCTTTCTCTGCTCCAAACTCTGATGTTTCAGATTGTTTGGCCTCACTATGCGTCAGGCCCACGACCTTGTGCTATTACAAGGATATGTAAAAATATGAATAATTGAAGTGAAATGATAGGATTAAAGGAAATATTAATGCTTATCATTCTCCTTATTAAAAAACTCAGAAATAAAAAAGAAAGAAAGAAAGAAAAAAAAAACCCCAGAAATTAGTGATTTCCTCCTAAACCTTTGTTATAATATGATAAAAGTAGGTGTACACACACATGTGTACGTGCACGCACACACCCTGGCAATTTGTTTAGGCTGGCTGGGAAAGCTTAAAACTTCCTTTATTTCTAGATTAACTATTGATTGTTTCATAAATGTTTGACTGATACATTCAATGAATCCTTTCCCACTTAATTTTGACAGGTACAAGAAAGAAATTCCATCGTTGGAGAAAGATATAGATGGCCTCATACTATTCCATATGTTCTAGACGATAGCTTGGGTTAGTATGCACTTTGGAGTGCCCAGAACTAATGTATGTTCCTGACAGAATATGATGACAGTATTTCCAAGGGAAGACTCACATGGCCTTTAAGGGTTTTTTTCTTTGTTGTTTTGTGTGGCTAAGTACACTTTAAAAAAAATAAGCAAAATGAAAAATGAACAGAACCTAAATGATTTTGTCTGAAATATTTGCTGAGTTTTGACCAATAAAGGATGAATTCAACCAATATTTATGGAGAGCCTACTCTGTATTGGTTGCTTGGGACATAAATTTTAGGGAGCTAGTCTTTATTTTAAAGCAGTGGTTTCATATATGTTCAGACTTTACATATGAGTTTGAAACATGAAACAACCAACCAAACAAAACTTTAGGAACTGTCACTATTTTACTAATATTTTATTTGGACAATTGAGGAACTTAAACAACAAGAACCCACTATCATCTTTTATCATCTTTTTTGTTTATAAAATAAATAATGTTTTAATACTAAAAAGTCAGAAGAACCTAATCCAAAAGAAAGGACAGCTATTCTATATTAGAAATTTATTGTAATGGAAAGCTCTAAACATGGTCCCCATTTAGTAAAAATGATACCCTTGACCAGCATCAGTTTAGGAACTGCTATTTGGGAGGTTTTTCCTTAAATATCATACATTTCAGTAGAGATTCAGATAAACCAAAAGCTAATTATAATAGAATGCAGTAAATGTAATGATTAGTGATATGTTCAAAATGTTATGGGAGCACACTGGAGGACATTTAACTCAACCTAGATATAAAGGCATATGCATTAGGGAGCAGGTGACCCTATGCAGTAGGGCTGCCATGAAGCTTGTGCAAGTTGTACACCACACATAGGTGCCTGGGGAGGGGGCACAAGTGGGACTGAAATTAAGTTTGCATTATATTCATCATGAGCATTCATTTCTTTGCATGAAGTACTATTCATCCACCTGCCAAGCCAGCACTTGCAACATCTGCCCAGATGAGGTGCCCCTCCCTTTCTTTCTTTCTTTCTTTCTTTCTTTCAAGTATATTTGATTTACAATATTGTGTTAGTTTCTGGTGTACAGTGAGGTGGCCCTCTCTAATTCATAGAAAGGAACTATGGGGGCTAGTGCAGCCTCTAATAGCAAGGGAAGCACGCTCTAGGCAGATGGATCACTATGTGCAAAGGCATGGGGAAAGGAAGAAAACCCCTGCTGGGAAGTAGGTTGAGAGCGGGGAGATAATGAAGTTGAACAGATAGGCAGACTTCAGATTGGGAAGGACTTGAGTCTTCCCCATGTTAAAGAACGTGGTGTGTATACCAGTGGTATGTGCAGCCGCTAAAGGTTTTAATGCAGAAGTGAGATTGTTATCACTCTGGTTGCAGTACAGAAGATGTATTATCAGTGGGACAGAAAGAGAGTAAGAAGATCTGTTAGACTCTTGAAGAAATTCAGGGAAAGATTAAAGAGTTTCTGAACCAAGACTCTCTCAGCGAGGATAGACAAGAGGGGATAATTTTAAGAGAGGCTTAGGAGACAATTAGATTTGGTGATTGGCTCCAAGAGATCAAGAAGAAGGTGAGTCTAGGGCAAGAAGTGCTAGTGTCCAAGATTATGTCTTAGACACCTGGGTGGATGGTAACACCTTTAACAAGAATAGGGAATATGTCTTGGAGAGGGTAGGATAGAGAAATGTGGTGGAAATTGGTTTTGGGCATGCAGAATTTGAAATGCATCAGGCTCACTGTGGTGGAGATATCATATAATGGCTTGGTGTCTGATCTGGTCATTCAAGATAGAGAAATCTAACAGGGAGTTATTAAGGGTATAGGAGATGGTTGAAGCTATGGATATGGATGAGATTCTCACATAGTGCCTTGCGTATAATGAGTACTTCATAGATAATGGATCTTATTGGATGACCCAGGAAGATTGTATTGTGTAAGAAGATGGCACAGAATGGAATTCAGCCTGGGAGAGCAACTTTTTGGCATTGATATAGATGGGAGATCTGATAGAGATTTTTTTTTTTTTTTTTTTTGCGGTACGTGGACCTCTCACTGTTGTGGCCTCTCCCGTTGCGGAGCACAGGCCCCGGACACACAGGCTCAGTGGCCATGTCTCACGGGCCCAGCCGCCCCGCGGCATGTGGAATCTTCCCGGACCGGGGCACGAAGCCGTGTCCCCTGCATCGGCAGGCGGACTCTCAACCACTGAGCCACCAGGGAAGCCCTGATAGAGATTTTTGAGAAGGGAAGAATGGCCATTAAACAGATGAAAAACCAAGAGTACAGTAGAAAAAGCCAAAGCAACAGTAATTAATAGGATTAGAAGCTATAAAGAGCTTGTGTAACATCAGGAGAGAATGATGTTCATTGGCTTTTGGAACTGGAGAAAATCTGAAACATTTTATTAAAATTTTAAAAATTTCGGCTTTATTGAGGTATAATTGACATAAAATTATAAGATACTTAAATTGTAACTGTGGTGATTGGACATATGTATACATTGTGAAAGGATTCCCACATCGAGTTAACTAACACATCCATCACCTCACGTATTTCTCCTTTTTTTGTGTGTGAGAACATTTATGTTCTACTCTCTTAGCAAATTTCCATTATGCAATACAGTACTATCGACTATAGTCACCATGTTTTACATTAGATTCTCAGATCTTATTTATTTTACAGTTGAAAGTTTGTACCCTTTTACCAACCTCTCCTTATTTAAATATTTATTTTTGATTTTAATCTTTTGATTAAAAAATTTTAAATACTTTTGTTTCAAAATCATATATATGTATGTGTATAATACATATACATACATATATACACATATATATGTATGTATATATAGCTTAAAAACTTTATTCTCCTGTGTTCCATGAAAGATCAGTGAGCTTTAATTTGACTGTATCTCTTAGGCTATTTTTGCCATGTATTTTAACCAAAGTTATCCTAACCTTATGAGCTTTATGTACCTGTTTCTTTTTTAAAAATTTTTTGCTTTTTTAAAATTGAAATATAGTTGATGTACAATATTATATGTTACAGGTGTACAATATAGTGCTTCACAATTTTTATGGGTTATACTACATTTATGCTTATTATAAAATATTGGCTATATTCCCCATGTTGTACAATAGATCCTTGTAGCTTATTTTATACCTAATAGTTTGTACCTCTTAGTCCCCTCCCCCTATATTACCCCTCCCCCCTTCCCTCTCCCCACTGGTAACCACTAGTTCTCTATATCTGTAAGTCTGTTTCTTTTTTTGTTATATTCACTAGTTTGTCCTACTTTTTAGACTCCACATACAAGTGACATCATACAGTATTTGACTTATTTCACTTAGCATAATGCCCTCCAAGTCCATCCATGTTGCTACAAAAGGCAAAATTTCATTCTTTTTTATGGCTGAGTGGTACTCCATTGTGTATATACATATACCACACTTCTTTATCCATTCATCTGTTGATGGACACTTAGGTTGCTTCCATATCTTGGCAATTGTCAATAGTACTGCTATGAACATTTGGGGTGCATGCATCTTTTCAAATTAGTGTTTTTGGTTTTTTTGGATATATACTTAGGAATGGAATTGCTGGGTCATATGGTAGTTCTATTTTTAGTCTTTTGAGAAAACTCCAAACTGTTTTCCATATGAAATGCTGCCAGTAGGGCTTTAGTCTTTTAGCTTAAGCCTCAGGTATTATCTGGCTGTTAAGATGCAACTCACCTGAAAGGGGTGAAACTTGAAGCAACGGTGTATAGCTTCCTGTGAGTGAGTTACAGTTGCTTGCCTGAGTGCCAGATTTGAAGTGAGTGGTAGGGGGAAGTAGGGAGAGGAGGAAAGGGGTAAAAGGTGGGAATAGAAATGAAGACCAAGGTGCTAGGAGCAGGAAGGGGCTAACAAGGAGAAGATAATTCTAAACAGCTGCTTGCTTAACTCCTAGGCTTGTCTGGGACCTGCCTTGTTCTTCGGAGCCTGGGGATTTAGGTAACAGGATACCTGGTGGAGCTCTTCTGCATCTGTGATGCAAAGTGAATTAAAACCCTTGGTAAATAAAGGCACAGGGTAAATAAGGATCTTATCTTGGTAGAAAGCTATACTTTTTACGAAACTTTCACATTTTTTCCCTTATTTGAGTCTCCAAACAATTCAACGCAGGATAGAGACTATCCTCATTAAGCTTTGATAAAAATCGAAGGCAAGCAAGCTCCTTTTACGTTCAGTTCAAAAAGTCATGTGGTGGTTGGTATCATCATGCCTTATTTTAAGGAAGTGATAGATCTGAAATAGTGACCCAAATGTGATACTTACAATACAGAAAATTTGGAAACAATTTAAATATTTGACAATAGGAAGTTAGTTATGTATCTTACCGTCATATAATGTGGCCATTAAAATGGTAAAAACAATACTTACTGGGCTTCCCTGGTGGCGCAGTGGTTGAGAGTCCGCCTGCCGATGCAGGGGACACGGGTTCGTGCCCCGGTCCGGGAAGATCCCACATGCCGCGGAGCGGTTGGGCCCGTGAGCCATGGCCGCTGAGCCTGCGCGTCCGGAGCCTGTGCTCCGCAAAGAGAGAGGCCACAACAGTGAGAGGCCCGCGTACCGCAAAAAAAAAAAACAAAAAACCCCCAAAGAATAATACTTACTGAGGAAGGAAGATTTTAAGATATATTATTTAGTGAAAAAATAGTTTATAATATATTATGTAGGCTGTGACTTTATTTTTTATAAAAATATGTATATTATGTATGTACGTATTCATAAGAAAAAAGTATGATAAATGTGGTTGATTATTTCTGGGTAAGATTTTATAATTTCTTTCTTGTTGTTTATATTTTCTAACTTACAATGAACATGTATTATTTGTGTGATATTGTAAAAGGTTGAATTCTGAGTGCCTCTTATAGATTCATGGATTTTAGGTCCCACGTGTATCTTGTTCTTTACTTTCACCTAGACAGAGGCTTTCTGAATAATGTCTTTAAATATTTGTGCAATGGACATGTAAGAAGGTAGGAAGGAAATAAACATTGGATAAATGCTCACTTTACAGTAGTGCCCCCTTATGCTCGGGGCATATGTTCCAAGACCCCCAGTGGATGCCTGAAGCTGTGGGTAGTACCAAATCCTATATATAGCATGTTTTTTCCTATACTACATACCTATGATAAAGTTTAATTGATAAATTAGGCACAGGAAGAGATAGTAACTAATAAGAAAAGAGAACAATTATAATACACTGTAATCAAAGTTAAGTGAATGTGGTCTCTCTCTCTCAAAATATCTTATTGTACTGTACTAACCCTTCTTGTGATGACGTGAGATGATAAAATGCCTGCATCATGAGATGAAATGAGGCGAATGACGTAGGCATTGTGATGTAACGTTAGGCTACTGTTGACCTTCTGATGACACATCAGCGGAGGATCTTCTGCTTCGGGTGATGCTGGGTCACTGACCCATGGTGATGTTGATGATCGGGTGTTGGGAGCAGATAATGGATGTCCAGGGTTGGGGAGTCCCTGGTGGGATGGAGCGGCATGGCACAAGGTTTCATCAAGCTCTCAGAGTGGCGTGCAACTTAAAAATTATGAATTGCTTATTTCTGGAGTTTTCCATTTAATATTTTTGGATCTCGGTTAACTGCAGGTAACCGAAACTGCAGAAAGCAAAACTACAGATAAAGGGAGACTACTGTACTTGGAACTTCACCTCTACTTTCTCTGCTATCCTCACAATATCCCTGTGAAGCTGATTTTAATTTCCCACTTAGATGATCTGATGATAATACCAAAGCTCTAAGGGTAAATTAAATTGGCAAAGATTATGCATCAAAAATAAGTGGTGGGGCTTCCCTGATGGCGCAGTGGTTGAGAGTCCACCTGCCGATGCAGGGGACGCGGGTTCGTGCCCCGGTCCGGGAAGATCCCACATGCCGTGGAGCGGCTGGGCCCGTGAGCCATGGCCGCTGAGCCTGCGCGTCTCGAGCCTGTGCTCCGCAACGGGAGAGGCCACAGCAGTGAGAGGCCCGCGTACCGCAAAAAAAAAAAAAAAGTGGTGAGGATAGGGGAGAACTTAGCTGTGTCTTGTTCCAAAGTCCACACACCATCTTCTCTGCCATACTGTCTCCCACCTCCCGGCAGACACCATCCTTCACTTCACCGTACTTGACCCCAGCTGTGACTGTCTCTCCATATGCACCTGATATAGCTCCTTCCTCCGGGTTGCCCTCTGAGCTTCTTTTCCTGAACGTCTTTTCTGCTTTCACACCTCTGCCGTCTTTGAGCTCCATTCTATCTAACCTTTTAGCATCACTCAACTTGAAAGCAATGGTTCTTATTTGTGTTTTGGAACCGGAACTCACTTGCGAATCTTATGAATGCTCTCCCCAGAAAATGCACTTTGCAGAGATAGATATATATAGATATAGACGTAATTCTTTGTCTACTATTTCAACATATTCATGGTCCCTCTCATCTCAAGGTCCTCAGATTAAAAACTCTGCTGTGAGGCTTTAAATACATATTATAGCTTCTTAGATGAAGCATGTGACAGTGATTGTTCATTTTGGTTGCCTGCGAACCAATGTATATGTTCTCTGAGGTAAGGAAATGCCCTTTTTGCTATTTGCACCTGTAATGACTCCAGGGAAATATATATGGGGTGAAAAAAAGCTACCTGAAGAACAACCAATTAATTGCATGTGATACTTGATTGGTGCTGTATACTAAGTTTTTAAAAAATAAAACACTAAATATTCATGGAGGGGCTAACGCATGATAAACAATATATTGCATGGCCTGTTTCCATGGTGAACTGTTCAATGGTGGTAATTTTAATAAGTTTATTTTTGTTTGTTTTCTTCCTTCAGAAATGAATGCCAGGGGAGTTATCCTCAATGCATTTGAACGCTATCGCCTAAAAACATGCATTGACTTCAAGCCTTGGTCTGGAGAACCCAACTATATATCAGTGTTCAAGGGCAGTGGGTAAGTTGAAGAGTTGGTCTTCTAAGTGCTCTGATGAGAACTGTTATGGCTGGGGCATTACATCACAGCAGTTGCCCTCGACCCTAACCTTGGGGGGGGTCGGGGGCTTCCATTGCTGTTTGCTGGATCTGTTTTCTTTAGCCATAAAAGAATATTTTCATACATGCAACCAGACTGCCAACGTTAAGACAAGGAAGGTGGGATCGCATGCCATCCACCCTATGACTCTGTGAACTTCAACCTGTTTGTCGTTTCTATACTCCTTATTTCTGCCTTCAAGTAAAACCCATCTGTATGCATGTGCACATGTATATTTAAATTTATTTTAACCTAAGAACTCTTACTACTTCAGTTAAGAAGGTGATAGTTATTTGACTCAAGGTTAGCAGTTCTGAATGGTTGCTATACCTATAAAACCCTTATTCAAGGACCATCTGAAAAATTTTGAAATTGCCAGAAAAGATCAGGACTTGGCTGCCTGGAGGATGACTCAGTCCTTTTTAAACATTTGGTGTCACAGCCCAAGTTCCCCAAAGGTCATCTGGTCTGGAAGGCTTTTCATACTGCACTGGGGTTTTGAGAGAAATACATGGTGTCCAAACATAAGTGAAGGATCTAGGTGGGTACCTAAGTGCATTAGGCATTAGGGATTTTGCCTTAGGACCTCCACCTGCATCAATATAAAACCCTCTCCCCCTTCTGTAAACCCTCCTGTAAGCTGCTGGTCTTCAGTGGGAAATAGGCGCATTGGGAAGCAAGAACTCTCCATCGGAAAGGGCTGTGACAGAATAGCAACAGTGCAACATGAGTTTCTCCACGCACTGGGATTCTGGCATGAACAGTCTCGGTCTGATCGGGATGACTATGTCAGCATAATTTGGGACAGAATTATTTCAGGTACATTTATCTTGTTTTCTTACATTGTTTTTTAAGTTAAATACTGAATTTCTAAACATGTGCCCTCTTCTGCCATTGGTGCTGTCTATTAATAATGGGAAAACTCTGATGTTTTGATCTTACTTGATTTGGCTGTAATTCAATAGGAGTTGAAGTGCCTGAAGGTTTTTGGGGAACAGTATTCCAGAACCCCAGTTTGAGCTGGATGTGATCTTAGAAACCAGTGTTTCCCGAAGATTATTTTATGTAGTGCCATTGCACAATTTGTTCAGGGGGGTTGTGAGGAAAGGAATCTGATTTCCCAAAATTAATTTGGGAAATCCTAAGTTAAAAGAAATTAAACTTAGAGTTATTTACACTGCTGTACTGTTTAGTGTCTTTGCTAGACTAACATGAATTGTAAATCTCCAAGAGGAGCATTTCCTAAAATGACTTGATCATGCTTTTTTTTTTTCTTTTTGTGGAGTGTTTGGATTTATTGTTCTTTTCTTAAAATTTTTTTTATTTTTTATTTTTTTAACATCTTTATTGGAGTATAATTGCTTTACAATGGTGTGCTAGTTTCTGCTGTATAACAAAGTGAATCAGCTATACATATACATACATCCCCATATCTCCTCCCTCCTGCGTTTCCCTCCCTCCCTCCCTGTCCCACCCCTCTAGGTGGTCACAAAGCACTGAGCTGATCTCCCGGATTTATTGTTCTTTGGAGCCCATGTTGGGAAACACTGCAACAGCCTGAACTTTTCGTGACTTTGTGCTCAAAGTCAGAAAGGTTTTAATAACCCTGTCCGACTAGAACTCACATTTTCTGCAGGGACACTTAGTTTCCCTGTCCATCGTGCCTCCATAGGGTATGGCGGGGGTGTGGGGGGGGAGGGGGAGGGGAAGGATGGCATCGCTATCAAGTGAGGCCAGTGAGGGCTGCTTTGCGCTGAGGGCCCCTGACATCACAATTCTAACATCACATTACCTGCCCCTGGCCTCACCCCTACCCAGAGTCTGGGGGAAGGCACTGAAGCCAACTGAAAGATTTCTAGAACAAGAGAAGTGTTGAGCTTTAATCTATGGCCTCACTCTTTAAGATTTCCAATGTCTTATTTCTGTTAGAAACTTCTGCCTCGACTTGATAACACATCTTTATGCTTTGTTGATCAAATCTACCTTGTTGTGTCTGCAAAATCATTCGATTTCACATTGCAGTCAGTGGCCCATTGGTATGATGCTAAGCGGTCAGGAATCTTCTCTAAATGTATTTATTTACATACATCTACACATGTTCCAGAAACTAAGAATAACTAAGATAACTAAGAAATCACTGACGATGTCAATCCTTTCTGATGACCACGTTATCATTCCCAGGTCCTACCCCACCACACCTCCCAAAGTCCTCTTATTTTCATCTCCATCCACTGAGGATACTCTACCTCTCCTCATTGCCAATGACCCTGAGTGTTTCAACAACACTTTTTAGAATCCTTCTTTCCATTAGCAGTTCTTAGAACCTTAGGCCAAATGCTAAAGTCCAACTTTGAGCTGAAATGAAACCTTAGATAAGTTCAGCATGACAGCTGGTATCACAATTCTAAGTTTGAATAGTCTATTCTAAGATAGGAATATATGAAACACTCTTGAAATACCATAGAGTGTCGGTTGTAGCCAAGGTTGCACTGTTTATTATAGTCTTTATTTCTAAGTTAACAGTGTTTGGAGTAAGATAAACTAAATTTTGTGAACATCAAGTAATTAAAGATTTTTATCTATCATTTAGGCAAAAAGAGCAATTTTGAATCCTATGATGACCGACAAACAGACTCCCTGAATGTTCCCTATGATTACAGCTCAGTGATGCACTATAGTAAAACTGCATTCCAGAATGGATCAGAACCAACAATTGTGACAAGAATCCCAGACTTCATGGATGTGATTGGCCAACGAATGGATTTCAGTGACTCTGATATCTTAAAGTTGAATCAACTGTATAACTGCTGTATGTGACAGGTTCTTCAAAATGACTTCTCCTCCTCTCTGCTCTGTAGGAAAACATTCTGTTCTGTGCCATTTTGCCAAGCATTGCTGGGTTTTCTGAAATTATAGTTAGATAATTGTTTGATAATAATAGTTTGATAGTTGAAGTTTGATATTCTGAAAGAAAGAAAACAAAACAAAACAGAATAGCCCCCAGATACCAGACTACAACATGGAAGCAGCATTTTTCTTCTCACAAGTTCTGGGCTTTAGATATAAAAACAAACGTAGTCCTATAGCAGCATGAGCATGACCCACTCAAGTTTTTGAACCTGTTACTAAGGCACATGTGGACCAACTTGATATTCAAAACTCTTTTCAGCCCAAATGAGGTGTGCAGTCATAATATAAATGGGATCAAATAATCCAGGTTGTGGTTTATTACTCTGAATAACTAGGGGAGTGTAGACTCAGGTTTCTATAATTAGTTAACCTGATAAACAAGACTTGGGGCAGGCAGCTTATACAGAACTACACAGTTGGTCGATTGTCTTGGTTTTGCAGATATCAAGAGATCTTGAAGCCACCATCACTCAGAATCAGTGACAAGTCCCCTTTAATGTCATCCTAGAATTCCTAGTGCTTCAGGATAATCTCAGTTTTTACTACTTAGATTATCATGTTATATATGAGCGTCAATAATTGTCTTTTTGCTTTGGTAGCCTCTTCCTTGAGCTTTATGGAGTCGTGCGATTTTGAACTGGAAAATGTGTGTGGTATGATTCAAAGTTCAGAAGATAGTGCTGACTGGCAACGGGTCTCCCAGGTTCCCGAGGGGCCAGAGAGTGATCACTCCAACATGGGCCGGTGCAAAGGTAACAGGAGTGAGATACTTCCAGCTTTTACTCTCAGTGGTTCTAGCCTCTTTCTTTGCTGTGAAATACTGGGATTTGAGTTCTTATTTTTATTAGAATTATTAATGATAACCCACTCGTGCTGCTCAGGAATTGGTTCTGTGCCTTATAAGGATATGGTTAATTTCTTTGCTTTTTACTGTCCAAGTTTGCTTTTTTTCCCCATGAGTCAGCGCTGGGCTCTGTGAAGCCTCTACCCATAGTGTGTGCCCACAGCAAGAGGGGCTGCCCCTCCCCGAAAGGACTCTTTTCTCTGGAGAAGTGGGGTTGTTTTCTTGAAGCCTGAAGAATCCAAGAGAACTTCAGTGAACAGCACCAGGCTGTGAATTAATCAGTTTCAGAATTTCAGCTGGTTGTGATTACACGTTCCTGTTACAAAAATACTTTAAATGCAGGTAGAAAGTACAATTTATTTAATTTTACTCAGATGAGTATTCTTTTCCACTGAAATTTTGTTTTGAATCAAATAGTCATTTATTTGGCTACAAGCACCACATTTTTATTTATTTTCTCATTTCTGGCAGCAAATATGTAAAACTAGCCTTCAGAACCCAGGGCCATTGCTTGACAGCTCAGATGACCTGGGAAGGGGTAGAGATCTCTAAGAGCATGGAGGGGCTTTTCCTTTTTCTTTTTTGGGGGATTGGTGGGGACATGACAGATGTTGTTTAAAGGTACAAACTTGTAACAAGTAGTAAAAAGCCCTAGAGATCTAATGCACAGCATAGTGAAAATAGGCAACACTATTGTATTATAATCATCAAACTTGCTGAGACTAGACTTAATTATTCCCACCACCAAAAAGAAATGATATTATGTATTGTGATAGAAGTGCTAATTATTGCTACAATGACAATCAGATGCCAATACATAAATGTGTCAAATGAACATGTTGTGTACCTTAAATTTACACAATGGTACATGCCAAACATATTTCAATTAAAAAATATTTTTTAAATGTAGATTTGAATAGTGGATAGTGGTTCTACATAGATCAGTAGGAGGGAGGAAGGGAAGGGGCGGGTGGAGAGAGAGAGAGAAAGAGGGAGAGAGAGAGAGAGAGAGGCTAAACCAAACAGGTAACACTTTTTCCCATTTTTGAAAACTAACATGTGTAGTAAGAAAAAAGTGATCTAATGTTGCTTTTCTTCATAGACTGCCTGCTCCAAGAACTGCATTTAAATGCTCAAAACAGTGCCCTGCATACAGTGGGAACTAGGTGGAAATAGAGTGCCCGCGAGACACGCATTCCTGTATCCGGTATCTGTTTTCTCAGTTCTGCATTTTGTCCTCTTTAACAGGTTCTGGTTTCTTCATGCATTTCAACAGGAGCTCTGTAAATGAGGGGGCCACAGCAATGCTGGGAAGTAGAATACTATACCCTAAACGAGGATTTCAGTGCTTGCAATTTTTTTTATATAACAGTGGAAGTGAATATGACCAACTGAACATCTATATCAGGGAATATTCTGCGGCCAGTGTGAACAGGACTCTGACCCTTGTGGAAGAAATAAAAGGTACACTATCACCATTCTTATTCTTGGGTTCAGAGTGAGTCAGTCTTAACCCTTTACTTAATGCAAAACCACTTACAGCAGGGTAGGGGCTATGGACTTAGTACTTTTCAATGTAGAACTTGGTCCTACTTGTTTTATGCAGTGGTTGGGAAGCTAAAATGAGAGTCCTTTCTGTGCTACAGAATATGTGACACTTAAGAAACTGTAGATCAGTCTCTGGTGCTGGGGAAGTCCGTTCTTGGCAACTAAAAATATAATGGAAACTAGCTTAGGCAAAATGTGAAGAGTTACTGGCTCAACATAACTATATTGTAGAATGGAGAAGAGAGGAGCTGGCCTCTGGCAGGATGGGACCTGTCCCTGAACATGGTTGGGGACCTTTCCTGTTATCTCAGATGGGCTTTGTCTGTAAAACTGGGGCTTTGGCTGTTTCACTTCCCAGCTTACATTTTACCAAATGTACCATCAGACTAGAGAAGGGTCTCTTCCTCTAATTTCTAGACTAGAAAAATAAATTCCAGCAAAGGATTCTAATTGTTATGACTTGAGTTAAATGCATCTTCTGGAGCAATTCTGAGTGGAGAGAGGGCAACACTGATTAGACGGCCACCCTTCCTTCTAAACATGTGTCCGGGAGGTGGGTCACATTGATCACATATTAAAGCAGATGGTTCAGAAGGTCCGCTGAGGAAGGGAAGGGCTGTGGCCTGGCGGCTGTATTACTGTCTGCTCCACACAGTGACCTCTTGGTTTGAATGAATTGACTAAAACCTATTATAAAACTGATCCACATTATGTCATATGTCATGCCATTTTCCCCCTGTTTAACAGTGAAAAACAATCTGAAACATAGATGATGTTTTCCTATATGTATATACATATATACGCGCATTATACATGTACATTTTATGTATCGAGTGCATATATAAAAGATTATAAATAAGATTATTACACACGTAGTTGATTACACATATATTAGCAATCTGTGGGTGTTATTACTGACAGATAATAGCACAAAATGTACTTAAGAAACCTGCTTAGGAGTCCAGAATTTAAACTGAAAGCACTGGTAAAAATGAAGTGGAGGCTCTCATGAAAGGTTTTTGTTCAATCTGGGGTCCTTCCACGGAGAATAGCATTTTCTGTAATTTGGATCTTTCTAACTTATTTTCAAGCAACATGTTTCTCATTAAGTGCCAATATATTTAAGTTTGAAGGCATTGAGTTAACTACTAGTTTGACATGAATTCCTGAGCTATTCTCTACCTGGGAGGCTTCTGAGAACTTTTAAATGGACTGCTTCTTATTTGGGTGTGTGACATCAGAAAATAAGACAAGATGTCATACAATGTGCTGCTAGCTAGGGGTAGGAGTAATAGTGGAGGGGACGTGTAGTCTGGGAAGAAAGGAGATGGTACCAAATATCAGATATGTAACATCGAGTCAGTTGCAAGATGTGGGCTTTCTAGGGTGTGGTGAATTCATACTTAATACTGCCAAAGAGTTGACTAAAAATTTTGCATGTGAAGGAAGTATTCCGATCAAAGTATAAATAGATTAAAGGAGGCTTTGGCTGAGTATCACAGGAATCTGGGGTACAAGTGTAGAGTATTGGGCTTGCTTGTCTGTTTAACTAACTGAATGGGAGGTAACTTGCAAGTTGGGCATGGAGTTCTCATGAGTTAGATGCTATCGTTTGCTCACCTATCTCTGGGAAAGGGTGCTCTATCTAAGAATCAGCTAGATAAGCATCCAGATATTCCAGAGAGCTGCGCCATCCCCACAGAAATGCCTTGAAGTAACTGGGCCTGAGCTGGAGGCGTAAGAAAGCCATACCTCATACCCGCAGGAAGCAGTAGGTCTAGAAAGACCCTTTGTCCATGAAGGTTAGAACTCTAATGTCGATTTGCACATGATTCATAGTCCTTTGTCCTCTTTGGAATAATAATGTCTCTCTTGCAGATATACCCATCGGGAGCTGGCAGCTTTACCACGTAACACTGAAAGTGACCAATAAATTTAGAGTGGTATTTGGAGGCGTCAGAGGCGCTGGTGCCTCACGGGGTGGCCTGTCTATTGATGACATCAATCTTTCAGAAACACAGTGCCCTCATCATGTCTGGCATATAAGGAATTTCACACAGCTCATTGGCAGCCCCAGCGGATCTGTCTTCAGTCCTTCATTTTATTCTTCTAAAGGCTATGCCTTTCAGATTCGCTTGAATCTAAGTAGTTTGCCTAATGTAGGAATGTATTTCCACTTGATCTCTGGAGCCAATGATGATCAATTAGAGTGGCCATGTCCTTGGCAACAAGTCACGATGACCATCTTGGATCAAAATCCTGACATTCGACAGCGTATGTCCAACAAGCGGAGTATAACTACAGACCCATTTATGACCACTGGTTTGTGACTCATCTTTTTTATTGGTAATACACAATCACTGCTCTAGGAGGGATGGATGATTTGGGAAGGAAAGACTGCATAGCCAGGTAGCTAGGGAATTTTGAGCCCCAAATCTAAGGATCAGAAGATATTTAGGGGAAGGGCTTCAGCAGCTGTGGACAGAGTCTCCCAGGCAGGAGACTGTCAGAAATGTCAGCAAAGATGCCAACAAATTGAGAAGATATTGGCTATATTTTTGGAAACTGATGACAATACCTGAATTCCCAGGGTTGTACGAGGAGTGTTTTAGTTTTAGAGTCCGACGCACCTGGATTCAATCCAAGGTTTGCTTCTCATTAGCTGTGTAACCTTGAGCAGGTAATCTCTTGGAACACCAGTGTCCTCAGAAGTAAAACTGGGACAGTAATAAAAACCCCACACATTTGTTAAAAGTATCTCTACAGATCAAGTAGGGAAGTTTGTGGAAGGGCCTGGTATGGCGAGGCTCTCAGATGTTGAGTTCTCCTAACCCATGCTGTCCTGGTCTTGCCTCTGAATTGTCAAAAACAGTTCAGCTTTTGTAATGGGGGCGGTTTTTGATCAGAACGAAGATGTTGAGTAGGTGCTCCGTAGTGTTGGGAAGGGTATGGGAATGGATTGCAACTTCTTATTAAAGAATTCTGGAGGACTTGCCAATGGTGACACCATCCCCCCTCTTTCTAGTCTGAAAAAGAAGAGCACCCAGAAAGCAATGATCACATTTCTAATTGTAATAATCCTTTGCCCTCTGGGAACATAATAAAGCGAAAAATGGAACTGTGGCAAGGTGAATATTATTGCCAAATCTGAATTCTGTATATGAAAAGAATGGACCTGAGTGGCTTGGGGAAAATATATATATATATAATCTGATAGGAAAAAAAATAGTATTCACAAAGAGGTGTGGGGATTTGATGTTCAGAATTTCTTTACCTTTTTCCAAAACATTTCTCCCTGAATGATATTGAAAATGGCTCAAGTTTAGGTGTGTCACCACCTTTTCCCAGAAGCAGTGCTTCTCACTGTCTTCTACTCCTGAAGGACTTTACTCTGTTAGGTGAATAATTCAATTACTGAGGTGAATTGTTCAGTGCTAATATTAAAAACTCTCTCAGTAACACATTGATTTAACTCAGCTAAAAGGACTACCTGTAACTCAGAAGGCCACTAAAGAATGATTCTAATGGGCAACGGAGTTTCTACACTGCTTGTTCAGTAGAAGTGTGACACCGCCATGTAGGAAGCTTTTGATACCTCTCCACTCATATTCCAGAATGTGCTCCTCTCTGCCATGGCATCTCATTTCTTTAGGACAGTCTAAATGAAGAAACTCCAGTGACTTGCCAGGGAATACATTACAGGTCAATAGCATCACTGAATTATTTTGAGCTCTGTCCTAATTGTGCTTCACATTGCTTGTGCTTTCCTACACCAAAAGCTATGATGATGTTAAACACAATCCATTAATATAAATTGCTTTTTCAGGTAATGGAAACTATTTTTGGGACAGGCCTTCCAAAGTGGGAGTACAAGATTTTTTCCCTAATGGAACTCAGTTTCAAAGAGGTAGGGGCTATGGATACAGTGTCTTTATGACCCATGAGAGGCTGAAAAGCAGAGATTTTATGAAAGGAGATGATGTTTATATCCTCCTGACAGTGGAAGGTATGTCAATAAAAGTCATTTTATCTAAGCTGCTTTTTTTTTGTGGTCGTTGATTATTTACTGTGTTTTTCTGGATTCCGTGTTTAGATATATTAGAAACGTGGGAGGGAATGGACATGAGTGAGATTCTTTTTAGTATGAATCATTAACAATATGAAAATAATTTAAATGAAAACAGGGACAGTTCCAGGATAAAGAACTTAATTAACACTGCCTGGAGCAATAGTGGAAAGCTTTAGTCCAGAACACTTCTTTAGAAATAAGCTGAAGTATAGCCATTATACCCTAGAATTTAACTCTAGGACTCCAGAAGTAAAAATATCCCAGAAACACATAAAATTAGAGTGGAAATGATCCGGCTTTATTGTCTCTTTCAGATATGTATACATACATATATAGAGATGTGTGCACACACACATATATCTTGTCAGTAATAGCATTAATCTATTGTCTTCTAAAATTTCTCAGCCATGGCAGCCAATAATTACATTTCCCAGGAATACTGTTTGTTTCCATGCCAAGGCCCAGGCAAGCATGTGTTCAGTTGTAGTCCCGCAGGCTGGTTCAGCTTCCCTTTGTGTCTAGATTTCAGCCTGCCTGTTTATTTTTTCACTGCCTATAAACGTTACTGAATGGTGCTTCAAGAGTACCTGAATTTCTCACAAACCTGAAGCCTGAACATTTTATTTTGAAACTTAAAGATCAAATGCTTGTTAAACCCCCAACTGATTTCCCTCCATGCTCTCCTCTCACCCTCCTTAGACATATCCCACCTTAATACTACACAAAATGAGCCAATCCCGACCTTGGGCGTCAATGACCTTTGCACAAACTTTAAATGTGAGAATGATGGCATTTGCATTCTCCATCATGGCAAAGCTGAGTGCAGGTAAGGATACAATCTACCCATTCTTTTGTTACATATTTTTTCATTCCCACAATGTAGGATTCATATGATATTTCATATGAATGAAATCAGTTGATTCTCATCTCAAAACCGTTCATAAGATATTTATCTTTTGCTCTCCATTTGGGACTTTGTGTTGCCAGCAGAACGACAGAATTATTTATGCAAAGGTAGCACGTTATTCTAATTGCCTGAAACAGTCCTCATGAGTTACACATCTTATTAGGTCCTCACAACGGTCTGGTGTGGTTACTGTGACTGTCCTCGTTTCCTAGATGTAGATACCTAAATTCTAAGAAGAGCTTGGCCACGGTCATAGCTGGGATGTGGAGGGACTGGGACACCGAGAACTAAATTTTCTCCAGTACCTATGCTACCTTCCTTTCCCAGCTGGGAGCTGCTGTGTTAAGTCTCAGATTAGGAGTAATTCCATTGTTCCTTTCCGTTGGCCCTGCCTGTGCTAGTCTAACCAACCCTTCTAGTCCAGAATGGGTGACAAATAGTTCTATCTGCCAATGACCTGAGTGTTGACTCACACCTTCGATGGTGAAGATTTTCAGATTAAAATATCAACTCATAACTCTGAGTCACGTTCCGAACATGTAGGTGTCCGTCAGGGGAAGACTGGTGGTACATGGGAGAAAGGTGTGAAAAGAGAGGCTCAACTCGAGACACCATTGTGATTGCCGTGTCTTCCACTGTTGCTGTGTTTGCTGTGATGCTGGTCATCACCCTTGTCAGTGTCTACTGTACCAGGAAAAAGTATCAAGAGACAAGTTCAAACACAACAAATATGACTCTGGAAAATGTAAGTTGACTCTCATATTTGGTTATTCAAAACCTATTGATGGAATTATATAAAGACAAATTAGGACTTTTTATATATACTAAAAAAAAAAAATTTCTCTACTCCCTATGCTGGGGACAACAGCTTTGAGACTATGAGTTCTTGTTATGTTCACTATAAAGCAACAGGTCTTAAATTGGGATCCATGGAGGGTTTTACGGGGGATTTTATTATCCTTCTGGAACTGTACCCAGAATTTTGTGTGGTTGTGCAATTTTCTGGGGTGGGAGTCTGTGACCCTCCTGAAAGGCACAACTGATTTTGCCTACACATTTCAACCTTCCTGGTTAAGGGGAGAGGTGACCTGCAAGTGTCATCATTCTAAAGGTTGAGCTCAGGCTTGTAGGAAGGGAGTGCTAGGCACATTTGGGGCTTTTGCATTAAAGAAGTTCCCAAATGATTCTGGCTTCATGTGTGGTAACTAACTCTAAGGCAAGATTTTCAAGTAGAGGTTTTAAAGTCTTGCCTCAGAAGGTCTCTAGAATGGCAATACACTCTTGAAATTACCCTGGGGACTATTTGAGATGGATATTTGCACACAGGACGTTCACTGTGCGTGCTCTTGGGAACACCAGTGATGGAGTGAGGGAAGGTGGACCAGGCAGAGGGCGAGGTTGGATTGTGCTGTGGTTGCAGCTGAGGCTTCAGCATCCTCTGCAGCGAGCTCTGGAGCTGGGGGGGCCCTTAGAGTGCCCTGAATTGAGGCAAGGGGGCCAGGCCATTGTACTCCCCACATCAACAGCCATTGGATTGGGGCTGTCCCCGGGGAGGGAGCAGAAAATTAAGCAAGGCAGCACCCTTTGGGGTAGGGCATGTCCTGCAGGAAAGCTTTCATTTGGAAGGGCAGGACTAACAGAGAACCCCAGCACCCACTACATACCCCAGTCACAGAGAGCACAGTTTCATATGCAGATTCCTATCCTCACTCATAAAAGAGCACTTCTAATGGAATAAAATCTGAACATCATTTAAAAGTGAAACTTAAAAATTCTTCCAGTTCTATTTCATTCAAAACAGGGTCTCTGAAAATTCCTAGCAAAACTGAAGACAAAACACGCCCGATTAACACATCTCTGAAACCGAAAATACTGCAATTACCTTAAGCGTGAGGATATTTTCTTTAAAAAAATGATTATTCAAGACATGCTGTATTTAATTAAATTAATTAATTAATTAATTAATTTTTTTGCGGTACGCGGGCCTCTCACTGTTGTGGCCTCTCCCGTTGTGGAGCACAGGCTCCGGACGCACAGGCTCAGCGGCCATGGCTCACGGGCCCAGCCGCTCCGCGGCATGTGGGATCTTCCCGGACCGGGACACGAACCCGTGTCCCCTGCATTGGCAGGCGGACTCTCAACCACTGCGCCACCAGGGAAGCCCAGCATGCTGTATTTTAAATTTTCGATTTCTTTTAGTAGACAAACTTATTTGTTTAAAGACACTTGTTTGTTAAAGACAATACATTTGTGAAGTTATTCAAAAGATGAACAATGATAATGAACAGAAAGCAAATAGTTTTATTCTCATACACTGCTGTCATGTTTCCTCAACCTCAGGAAGATGTTTAAAGCTGGTCATAGGCAGTGGATCAATTACTTCACAAGCGTATTAGAAAACTACTTAAAATATATATAGGTTTGGGCTTCCCTGGTGGCGCAGTGGTTGAGAGTCCGCCTGCCGATGCAGGGAACACGGGTTCGTGCCCCGGTCCGGGAGGATCCCACATGCCGCGGAGCGGCTGGGCCCGTGAGCCATGGCTGCTGAGCCTGCGCGTCCGGAGCCTGTGCTCCACATCGGGAGAGGCCACAGCAGTGAGAGGCCCGCGTACCGCAAAAAAAAAAAATATATATATATATATATATATATATATTTTGTTTGTTTGTTTTTTGTTTTTTAAAACAGGTATTTCCAGCTTACTCTATGGCTCAAAATAAAAGGGACAGATCAGTCAATGACCCAGTAGGTCAACCTGGTGGAAGCTGTGCCCACCGGCATGGTCCTCTGGGCTAGTAGGGATGTACTCCGGGGCTGGAGTAGGAATGGTGGGGGAGTGGTTAGGGAGGAGAGGACCAGTTAGCTGGTGGATGGGACTGCCAAGATATTCCTCTGGAAACTGGTAGATGTAAGTGCTATTATAAAGGCCGATTTGTTGACCTAAAATTGGAATTAAAGAAAATGATAAAACAAAGAGAAGAGAAAGAAGGAAGTTAATTCAATCAAGGAGAGAACTATTAGAGTATCAGGGACATGGTAGGGCCATTAAGTGGAAACACACACACACAGCCACCGTATTATAAAAACAGAACTGTTTTGCCTCTGGGTCATTTAAACATGCCCAAGAGCAAGGAGTCAGCTTACATTTTCCTTAGTCTAGGCATTTCTACAGTAAATTTACTGATAGCAGAAACTCCAGCTCTAGTTTAAATCTTAAATCGGAATGACCTTTTTCCTGAGACTGAAGTTTGTGCTCACCCTGATGTTTTAGCATCTGAATAAAGTGGGATAGGCCAGAGCATGTTCCTGGAGACAAGCCTGGGGTCCCCTTGCCAGTTGGGAGGGATGCCAGGAGACTGCTCATGGCACTTCATTTAAACATTAGACTGTTTCGTTGGATTCATTTCAATGAGAGTTTTTAAATTTAGAAATTAAGTGATCGATTGTTCTTCCCCCTTTTAGCAATATGCACTTTGAAGATTAACTCAGCAATACAGCCAACAAATGAAATGAAAAATTCTTCATGATGGTTTCACCTACAATATATTACAACCACTTCACCTGCTATAGACGGATCTTCTCTGTACATAGCTGGATATACTACAAATCATTATTTTGGTAAAGGTCTAATTGGTGAAATGTTGCTTGTGTTTTTGTTTTTAAAGGAGGGGAGTAAGAAAATAAAAAATAAAAATAGATAAAGGTGGAGAAGAAATTCAGGCTGTTCTGGAAGCATAATATTTTCTATAAGACGGAGAGCAAGCACTGGGGGTAGCTTTCAAATGACTGCCTTCTCTTTGGGGGCCAAGTGTGTTGGCCTCACAGGTGATTCCCTAGAAACCCACTGGACACACCCAATGGGAATGATCTTCCATGTAGAATCTCAGCATTTCCATGCTGTCCTGTCCCGATGTAGGGAGGGACAGAGGGCAGCTCCTTTCTCCCTGGGGAAATGTGCCCCCCACAGCTCTAAAACTGGCCACTCTCTTGTTTCCTTTATTATTATTATTATTACTGACCATGTTTGTGGCTTGTGGGATTTTAGTTCCCCGACCAGGGACCAAAACCAGGACCTCAGCAGTGAGAGTGCAGAGTCCTAACCTCTGGACCACCAGGGAATTCCCTCTCTTCTTTTCTGACTTAAGCCTCACAGTATGTGAGTCTGGTTAAGAATCTGTTTGAACATACAACTACAATCAATAAGAACACTTTAAACTCCTAGAACAGTTCTCAGAGTTTTGGGTTTCAGGAGCCTTTATACTTTTAGAAATTATTGAGGGCCTCAAAGAGCTTTTGCATATGAATATTCCATTTATCAGTTCTTACCATACTAGACATTCAAACGAGGAAAATTGAAAACTATGTCTTCATTAATCCTTGAAAAATAACAAGCCCATACGTGTTAACATAAATACTATTTTCTTGAAAAATAACTATATTTTCCAAAACAAAAGAAAATTTAGCAAAAAGAGTGTGTGTTGTGTTACATTTTTTGCAAACCTCTAATATCTGGCTTAATAGAAAACAGCTGAATTCTTACATAAGTGTCTGCATTCAGTCTGTTGCAATATATTATTTTTGTAGAAGAATATAAAGAAAATCTAAACTTACACAGATATGTAGTTGGAAAAAGGAGGCATATTTGAATAGCTTTCCAAGTCATTACGGATATTCGTTTTGAATATCCTTTGTTAAAAGTGGACGAATGGTAATTTCTTAAAGGTTAGATACAATTGGAATCTGAAAACAAATCAATGAATTTTGGTACTCCATCCAGTAAACCTATTGGTCTATCTCATATTTTGAATGGATCTTTCATCTATGCATGATTTTGTCGTATCGTGCATTGATTATTTAGAAAATATTGGTTCACTGACTTATGTAGCTCTTACAACTTTTGGTACATTTCATCACACAGTATCAAAACATAACATTAATGTCACCACTCGTCTCATTAAAAAAGTTTTTTAAGTCTTGGAAGTTGATGCTCATGGTGTCAGAAACAAATTTTCCAAAATGCTAATTTTTGCTTGAAAGCTTAAAGTTCATCATTGGCAATAAGTACTGTCCTCCCTGTATGACAGGTACATGACTTCATTGAATTTTTAAAATTCAAGTTTTATTTTGAGGTCATTGTAGATTTACATGCAGTTGTTAGAAATAATACAGAGATCCCTGTGTACCCTTCACTTAGTTTCCCTCTACGGTGACAACTTGCAAAACTTTAGTGCAGTGTCACAACCAGGATGTTGATATTGATACAAACTACAGAACAGTTTCATTACCACAAAAATCCATCAAATTGCCTTCATATAACCAAGTCCCTTTCTGTCTCGTTCCCACCTCCTGTTTAAACCATGGCAATCTGGGACTTCCCTGGCTGTCCAGTGGTTAAGACACCAAGCTTCCACTGCAGGGGGCGCAGGTTGGATCCCTGGTTGGGGAACTAAGATCCCGCATGCCAAGCGAGTGGAGCGGGGCGGGGGGTGGGGGGGGACAAAAAGCCCTTGGCAATCATTAATCTGTTCTCTATTTTTATAGTTTTGTCATTTAAAAATGTTATATTAACGGAACCATGCAGTATAGAAATTTTCGGGATTAATTTTTTTTTTAACTCGGCATAATTCTCTGTAATTCATCCAGGTTGTTGTGTGTACAATAATTTGTTCCTTTCTGATGGCTGAATAGAATTTCATGCCATGGATGCACCACAGTTTGTTTAATCATCCACCTGTTGCAGGACATTTGGGTTGTTTCCAGATTTTGGTTATTGCAAATGAAGCTGCTCTAAATATTCAGGTACTGGTTTTCATATAGATATAACTCTGCATTTTTCTGGGATACATGCCCAGGAGAGCATTGCTGGGTCATATGGTAGTTGCATGTTTAGTTTTTTAAGAAACTGCTACTGATTTGCATTGTGCCTATACCATTTTACATTCCCACCAGCAGTGGTGATGCAGTTTCTCTGATCCTTACCAGCTTGGGTGTTATCGCTTTTTTTTTCCTGATAGACTCCATTATTTAGAGTAGTTTTAGAGTCACAGCAAAACTGAGCAGAACTTAGAGAGATATCCCCTATACCCCTTGTGCCCACATACACACAAGCTTCTCCCACCATCATTATCCCCACCAGATAAATTTGTTATAATTGATGAATCTACATTGATACGTTATTATCACTGAAAGTCCATAGTTTACATTAGGATTCACTCTTGGTGTTCTACATTCTGTGGGTTTTGACAGGTGAATAATGACATGTATCCACTACAACAGTGTCCTGTAGAATAGTTTCACTGCCCTAAAAAATCCTCTGTGCTCTGCCTATTCACCCCTTTCCCTACCCGCCCCTCCCCACAATCACTAATCTCTTTACTGTCTCCATGGTTTTGCCTTTTCCAGAACATCTTTTAGTTGGAATCATATAGTAAGTCACCTTTTCAGATTGACTTCTTTCACTTGTCACTATTTTTTTTTTTTTGGCCGCGCTGCATGGCTTGTGGGATCTTAGATTTTAGTTCCCTGACCAGGGATTGAACCCGGGCCTCAGCACTGAAAGCACCGAGTCCTAACCACTGGACCGCCAGGCAAGTCCCTTGTCACTATTTTTTATTTTAGCCATTCTGATTAAATGTGTAGTGATATCTCATTGTGGTTTTAGTCTGCACTTCCCTAGTGATGCATGATACTGAACATCTTTTCATGTACTTATTTGCCATCTCTATATCATCTTCCGTGGACTATCTCTTTACATCTTTTACTCATGCTCTAAATGGATTTTTTGCTCTTATACCATTGCGTTTTGAGACTTTTAAATATATTCTAGATCTGTCCCTTTGTTGAATGTACGGTTTGGAAACATATTTTGCCACTCTGCAGCGTGTCTTTTCATTCTCCTAAAAGGATATTTTGCAGAGCAAAAGTTTTTAATTTTGATAAAGTCCAATTTATCAGTTTTTCCTTTTAGTGGATTGTGTTTTTGGTATACCCAAGTCTCAGAACTCTTTGTCTAGCCCTAGATCCTGAATATTTTCTCCTGTTTAAAAAGATGTTTTATATATTTTTTGTTTTATATTTAACTCAGTGATACATTTTGAGTTAATTTTTATAAAAGGTTTGAGGTTTAGGTTGAGTTAATTTTTTGGCTATGGATGTTCGATTGCTCTAGGCATTGTTTGTTGAAAAGGCTATAGTTCCTCTACTGAATTGTATTACATTTTATATATATATATATATATAATTATAAATGATTTATATATAATGTAACAATTTTTAACCTATAATTATATATCTAATGTAATACCTAGAGAGCCACTATAAAAGCTGTGCAAAGGGACACTAAAAATCATATATAATAATGTATTAAACTATATATATGTTATATATTACATTATATATGTATATAAAATCATAGTCTTCATTCAATTTTGAAAAAAAATCTGCCAGATAACTAAGTCTGAATGACCATTATTTATCCTTTAAGTGTTTTTTAAAGTAAAAATGGTATTCTTTGAAAAAAGTGGCTAATTCATCTAACTCAAAAATCTTACAGGCGCTTTTCCTTAAGATAATCATTGTACTTCATTATGCAGCAGAAGTGCTTTATTAGTACGTTCCATTTTATCACGCAGAATATAAAAAAGATGTATGCTCAAGGTTTGAGATTTTGTACAGTTAATAACGGTTACTGCTTCATTAAGGATATTCTTAAGTAAAATTGGCTTTAAAATTATTTACTCATTTATTTATTTACTGCAAGTGTGTAACAGTGAAGATTACAATGACTATTAGTTCAGTTTGGCACCACTGCCTTGATTTGGGCTAAGATACCAGCAGTTCTATCCATCATTACTTTTTATTTTCCAATTTTTTTATTGTGTTAAAAATTTTTAAACTATAAAATTCACCATTTTAACCATTTTAAAGTGGCATTTAGTACATCACAATGTTATATAATCACCAGCACTATCCAGCGCTAGATTATTTTCATCACCCTAAAGAACATTCTGTATCCATTAAGCAGTTACTCCCCTTCCTCCTTACCCCACCTCGAAGCCCCTGGCAACCACTAATTTGCTTTCTGTCTTTATGGATTGGCCTATTCTGGACATTTTGTGTAACTAGAATCACATAATACGTAACCTTTTATGTCTGGTTTCTTTCATTTAGCATAAGATTTTCAAGGTTCATCTACATTGTATCATACATCAGTACATCATTCCTTTTCACAGATGAATAATATTCCATTGTATGAATAGACCACAAATCAAAGGAAGTTGTAGGAAGTCACTTTAGCGACAAAAGAGAAATTGTTGCCCACACGCTCTTGGTTAAGAGTGTACACTCTGAAACCAGACTGCTTAGGTTCAAATCTCACAACACGGGGCTTCCCTGGTGACGCAGTGGTTAGGAAGCTGCCTGCCAATGCAGGGGACACAAGTTCGAGCCCTGGTCGGGGAAGGATCGCGCATGCCGTGGAGCAACTAAGGTTGTGTGCCACAACTACTGAGCCTGCGCTCTAGAGCCTGAGAGCCACAACTACTGAGCCCGTGCACCTAGAACCCGTGCTCCGCAACAAGAGAAGCCACCACGATGAGAAGCCCACGCACCGCAATGAAGAATA